CGCTTTCCCCTATCCGCATCGACGCTCGCTTCGCGTCTAGTGCTTCTCTCATGCCGGGCGGTCCCTCTGCAGGGGCTGCGAGGGCTGGTGCAGCCGAAGCGGCCGCTGGCCGCCGCGGAGAGCGCGTGGGGCGTGCGGGGCGTGCGGGGCGGCGCAGGCGGCGGCGCCGGCGGCGGCGCTGGCCGAGGCGGCGGCCGAGGTGTCTCCGGCGCAGCGCCTGGCGCAACGCGCGCGCCTCGCGCCTCGCGCCCAACCACCACTGCTGCTGGCGGAGCGCCGCGCGCGGCCGGTCGCGACGACGCCGCCCCGCCGCGCAGCGCCCCGACGACGCGCCTCGCGCGACGCTCCGGGAGGAGCTGCTGCGGCTGAGGCATCCGCGGACACCCTGCTGCCAGGTAGGCGTGCCGCAAGGCCCGTTATATTTATTTACTTGCTGTCGGCATCCCGCTGAAACGAAGCTTATATGCGATAAATACAAACGTACAAAATACACCGTTAAGTAAGTGAATTCAGAGAAGATATTATTGGCTTAAGTCAACCCTTATTTTCTCCTTCGTTTCATTGTGTCTTCGTCGCAATTTTTTTTCCCTTTCTCGTTTCCTATTCACTCGCGCAGCGCCTCGACGGCCGTCTGCGCGCGCTCAGGGAAGAGATGCTGTAGCTGAGGCAGCTCGCAGACACCCTGCTGCCAGGTAGGCGAGCCGCAAGGCCCGTTATATTGATTTATTTGATTTCGGCATCCCGCTGAAACGAAGCTTATATGCGAGAAATACAAACGTACAAAATACACCGTTAAGTAAGTGAATACAGAGAAGATATTATTGGCTTAAGTCAACCCTTACTTTCTCCTTCGTTTCATTGTGTCTTCGTCGCATTTTTTTCCCCTTTCGCGCGTTCTCCCTTTCTCGTTTCCTATTCACTCTCGCAGCGCCTCGACGGCCGTCTGCGCGCGCTCAGGGAAGAGCTGCTGCGGCTGCGTGGACTCGCGGACACCCTGCTGCCAGGTAGGCGAGCCGCAAGGTCTGTTATATTTATTTAGTTGCTGTCGGCATCCCGCTGAAACGATGCTTTTATGTACGTCGTACAAAATCCACAGTTACTAAAGTGCATTCAGAAAACATGTATTGATCTAAGTCAACTCTTACTTTCTCCGTCGTTTCTTCGTCTTGTCCTCTGATCTTCGTCACAGTCTCTTTTCCCTCTCTCGTTTCCTATTCACTCGCGCAGCGCCCCGACGACCGCCTGCGCGCGCTCAGGGAAGAGCTGCTGTAGCTGAGGCAGCTCGCAGACACCCTGCTGCCAGGTAGGCATGCCGCAAGGCCCGTTATATTTATTTCGTTGCTGATTGGATTCCCGCTGAAACGAAGCTTTTATGAAAGAAATACTTCGTAGAAAATTCACTGCTACTTACGTGAATTCACATATATTGATCTAAATCAACCTTTTCTTTCTCCTTCGTTTCATTGTGTCTTCGTCGCCATTTTTTCCCCTTTCGCGTCTTCTCCCTTTCTCGTTTCCCATTCACTCGCGCAGCGCCTCGACGGCCGTCTGCGCGCGTTCAGAACGGAACTGCTGCAGCTACGGCAGCTCGGAGACACCGTGCTGCCAGGTAGGCATGCCGCAAGGTTCATGGTTTGAAGCGTCCATTATATTTATTTTGTTGCTGTCGGAATCCCGCTGAAAGGAGGCTTCTTAATCCTTAAGTAAGAATGTATTGAATTCGTGATTCCTAAGAGAGTACATAGCACCCGGTATTACGTTTAATCAAGTTTTATTTTCTTCTCTTGTCATTTCTTTCACTTCTTTTTATACTGTTATTTACGCCTCCACCGTGTTGCTGCGGCTCCGCTAGTTCGCCGACATCCTGCTGCCAGTTAGGCGTGCCGCAAGGCTCATGTTTCCACCTGCCAATTTTTGTTTATTTACTTGTTGTCCGCCTACCATTGATATTTATGTATACTTTTATTAGTTAATAATAATCATAGTATTGAATAAATATTATTGTTTTATGTATAGATAATTGAAGTTTTTCTAAAAAACAACCATAGTCCAAAAACGCAATTTTTTAAGAAAGCGAAAAAACCTCACTCGGCGAAATTGGTAGACATTTAAATCATGAATTTGTTGTGCACTTTCTATATTAATATTATATATTATAACAATATTAATAATCTATATTATATTTCTATTGTAAATACTGACGAACGCTTGAGTGTAGATCAAGTTTCAACTGTATTATGCAAATTTTTGGATACCGTGGACTGTGTATGGACTATGGAGTTTTTTTAAAAATGGAGAAATTTCTACCTCAAAATTGTTTATTTGGAGAAGTAGTATTACAATATTTGAAGGAATAAGTTTGTAAGAAGTCAATGCTTTTAATGAACTAGGAATATTATTGACCAACTTACTGTTCTTCGCCACTGCCGTTATCATCATTGTCAATTTTTTCGTTTTTCCCATTAGCATCTGCCTCTGACGACAAATTTAGATACAAATCTCTATTAGCAGGTGACTAAATATTTAGACAACTTTCTAAGATTCGTTTGTGATAAAAATATGCATCTCTTTCAAACTTCTTTCCTCTCACTACACCCTCTTTCCTTTCTTTATTTTACGTCTCTTCCACTCTGTTCTTTCTTCAACTGACATACAGTCCATTTCTTAACTGTTACTTTCTCAGCTGCTCAGATCCACAACACGAAGGACATGTATGCAACAAGAACAAGTTATACACTACCACGAAACTTTTAGAACAAAAATACTGGTATATAGAATAACCACATTCACAAAACAAACATTACCAGTCGTTGAAGAATGATATAAGCTGTGCTTGATAAATAATCACGGAGAAAACTTGACAATGGTTCTTTTACCAAAAAAATAGACTCTTAGACTAAGGTTCTTTTGTGAATGTCACTCAAAGTTTCGGAACTAATAACTATCGTCAGTGATTAGTTCACATTCCCTGTTCACATAGTGATTTTGTTCACAACAGTGTCAGCAAATGGCGGCTATGATGCTCTTGCATAAGTTCTAGTATCTCAAAATCTCACTTTTTGGACTGACGTTGTTTTTTGTATTTTTTTAAACCTTCAATTTTCTTCAGGCGAATAAAATCTATTACTTTGCTTGTTTTCAGGGAATTCACCAATTTAGTACACCATTATTTCTGTTTTATCAGCAGAATACTGAAATCATTACGAGATTTATTTGCGAGTCTTGTAAACAGAACTATTTGACTTCCAAATAACGAATTTACTCTCAGTTCTTACGTAGTTAACATGAATGCTTTGAAATCAGTTGCATAATTCAAACCAATCAGATCATCATGCAGAGCAATTAAACTATAATCTTCACAGCTGTAATTAATCACTCATTTGTGGATCATTGCCCTCGACTGATGAAAGTCTCACCATTTCGTCTCTTTAGTCGCGTCAGACGATTTTTATTTACTTTTCCTCCTCGACCTCTTGCCTTAGCTCTTTCGCCCACATGGCGCGTTTGCGACCCGGACACGAAGTAATCTTGGCACGCGCTCCCGCTATCCGGTGGAGATAAAGAGTACACGAACGCGATTCATTAAGTCGTGGGGAAAGGGTAAACAAATAGAAATGAAACGATGTAGTGACACGAAGATAATTATAACTTTCAGATTAAATATTTTGTTGTCTTGCGTATGATTCAATCTCATTAATATTATTGGGTTGAGTTTGTATAAGATATGGAATTTTGCTATGTGCACATGTTGAAACTAGAATAGTGTAATAATTAAAATGTTCAGAACTATATAAGATTAAAAAATGGCATTTCGATCTTAAGAAAATGATTCTTTAGGGCTTCTCTGAATGATCTTCAGCACAGTAGTACAGTTTAAACGCGAGTAAGATTTGCATGTACTTAAATATACGAAATGAATACTTAAATGTACGAAATGAAAACGGCTAGAATAACATTTATAGGATTTAATCCACTAGACAAACAGAATAACACTATGAAAGAGTAATTAGAACTTGTATGCTTTTACCTTTTCAGTTTCTCTATGTTGAGAATTTTGAGTATGATTTATTACACTTGCGCTGATTTCCTCCTTGCATTGAGAAAACTCGTTCACCTTGGTTCACATTTATTTGACGGCGATTCGAGTACTACGCGGCGTTCATCTCGACCGCCTCCCACAGAAAGTCAGAATCACGGTGCCTCTCTCGTAAATATTGTTTTTGGTTATGCTAAAAAAAAAAATTAATTTCTTTTTCACATTATTAATTACTTACTTTTCTTTTTCCTCAAAAATGCAAACTGATTTATAAGGCACCGTATTTATTTGTACACAACTTTACGATTACATATACACGAGTTAGTGAGTGAAGATAAGTAGAGTGTCACAGTAACTTCCACCCACATTTTACACACTAACGGCTATACCATTGATCCTAGATGTAAACCTTAAAACACAAAATGTACACAATTCTATCCTCTTTCATTTCATATGAGGTTAATGTTTACGAAAAATTGATCGTTTTTATGTTATATTGAGATAAATTGGGATAATTACAGTTTTTCGTGTATTTCGCATTTATCACCAAATTTCGCGGTGCTCTCACACCTAACCCATTAATTTAAAAAAATCTATCTTGATGACATTAAATGTAGGTAGTTTTATCTTATTCTGTATTATTCTATCTAGTATTATAATATATTCCATATTATCTATTTCTTTTATTTCATATAGGACATCAATTACGAAACATTAATGAATTTTGAGTTATTTTAAAAACGCTGAAAATAGGTGTGATTTTTACACATTTGTGTAAAACGTGTTTCCTGGCAAAATTTTTGTTGGCATACCTGATATTCGAGTTCAGCGACCCCCCAAAACGGAGAAACCAAATATCGAAACTAGACACAAGTTTTCGGTATTTCCCCTTTTCGAACACCATTCTAGTGAAGTACGCTACGACAGAGGATACTCAATGTGTGTGTGTGTTGTGTGCGCAGCTGAGATGGGGCTGCGCGGGCGCGTGCTGTACGCGCTGCACGAGGTGCTGCTGGAGCAGGAGCTGCGCAGGGCGCGCGCAGCCGACGTCCCGGGCGAAGAGCTCTGCGCGCGGCTGCAGGTGAGCCAACCACACGCACATTAACGTCTTGGCTGTCCGGGAGTCACCGCTGCGTCTCAGGCACAGGTGCCCACAACGCTTCTGTTGTCATTCTGCGAGTTTCCACAGGGCGAAGGGCGAGTTCCACAGAACCATCTCCGTGCAATTTTGCCCTGGGGAAGGTCGCAGAATGGCGGCCGAAACGTTGGTAATTGGTGCCAATCTGGCTCAGAGCATTTCGCCCTGTGGAAAGTCGCAGAATGCCTCCCGGAAGGTTGGCACCAGTGCCTAAGACGCTGCGTCTCAGAAATCCCAGTAGTTACTGACTCAAACCGCGGAATGATACGCTCTCAACCTCACAGACACTTCTACTATAGATGAACCGCGTGGAAAAACCAATCTTCCACTGCGCATGCGCTAAATGTTTGGTTAACGACTGCCCCCCCCCCCACTCCACAACAATTGGCTGCCATTGGGATCTGATTTTAAACGGAATGGGTGAGGAACAAGTGTGTCCATTTTCTTCCGTCCTCTTTCAATTTTTGCACGCATTTGAAATTACTAGTAATATAGATATACGAAAAGGAAAAAGATAGCAGAAGATATACTAATTTGCTTTCGAATATATTACACATATATTTTCTAGATATGTTCAATTACATTCACATCATAATGTAGTATTTAGTATTACAAATAACCTAGTATATTTTTTAATTATTTATTTTCACTGCTTACTTCACAAAATCAAGTTCCGACGATTTTTCTTCGCTATACTAGGTTTCAAACGGTGTGCAGAAGTGAAATAAATAAACAAATAGATAAATAGGGGAATAATAAGACCAGTGAATGAATCGACTAGAAGACAAAGAGAACGGTATATAAATAGACAAAAACAAATAAATCAATAGACAACAAAAAATATATCAATGTTAAGTATACTAATAGAAAAAATATAGCAAAACTAAACAGACCATGAGGCAAACCGATCAAAAGATACAAAGACCAATGGATCATTAGTCAAAAACTTTAGTATGAAAATATACAAGTAAACAAATAGACCAATAGACAAGAAAATCTGTAGAAATAATATACCAGTAGATCAATAGACAAAATTCATAGATAAATATGAAAATAGATTAACAGAAAAATATACAAAAACCGACGAGACCAATACAGAAAACGATCAGGAGACAAATATACCAATGGATCAGTAAACAAATAGATTAATAGAAAATAAACAAATAGAAACATAGACAAAAATATTATTAGACAACTAGATCAGTAGACAAATAGATCAGAAGACAAACAGACCAATAAATCAATAGACAAAAAAAACATCAATAGACAAAAAACATTAGTAGAGCAATAGATCAATAGACAAAACACATCAGTAGACAAATAGATCAGAAGACAAACAGACCAATAGACAAAAACATCAGTAGAGCAATAGCTCAGTAGACAAATGCAAGGGACGCCTTGGAGCTAATGGCGCTGCGCGCTTCCCCGTGCGCAGGAGGTGAAGGGGCTGCTGCAAGAGGTGGTGTCGTGCGTGGCGGACCACGCCGAGGAGACTGCCGAGACGGCGCTGTACCGCGTGGCGCGCCGGCAGCTGGACGTGTTCGACTCGCTCTTGGAGACGGTGGTCAACCAGAAGCGGCACGCGTCCGCGGGGCCCGCGCCCCCCGCCGGGGCCCCCGTCGTGCCCCCCGTGGCCCCCGCCTCCACCACCGCCATGGCCACCGCCGCCTCCTAACGCGGACGCGGACGCAAGACGCTCGAGCTGTGCGAAATGCGAGGTGCAGCAGAGACAGAGAGAGAGAGAGAGAGAGGGCAGAATGTAGTTATTTATGTTACAAGGACGGAGGGTGTGCATTAAGGAATTGAACTGAATTGAATTGATATTACTCGCGCAACTTTTCTTGAACGATGACCTTGCTTCCCCCCCTCTGGCACAATAAACAGTTGAAGGCAAAAGCTCGCAGCGAGCACTAATGACAATATCCCAAACACATCTTCACTGGCGCGAAATAGAAACTATTTTCTGTTAAAGACAACTTATGTCCGTGATTTTCTCCAAAAAATTCTAAAGAAATGACCAAAAGCAGGTGAAATCCATCACGGAAATACTTCGAGCTCCTGAGAAAATTAGAACGCCAAATTATTGAGAAAGTTCCGAAGCATGACTGTTTCTCCAAAGATTGGCATTGCTTCATAAAATATAATGGCCGATTTCGTAACTAATACTCCAACTCTACCGGCATTTCTTCAACCCATCGTTCAAGAAAAGGTGCGCGAGTAATATCTTATGTTACGGGCCGAGACTCAGGCCATGAGGCCCGCTCTTCCGTCTGCCCACGCAAATTTCGCTCTTTTTTCTTTGACCAACTAGCAGGTATTAGACCAACTAGAGAAAGGAGGTATTTCTTGGGCGACGGAACAGGCGATTTGTATTTAGCCCAGAGGCGTCATTTATGCTTGAGGATCTTTTACATGCAAGTAAATCTACTTACATGGGACAGCCGGCTTTACTTCCCCTCCAAAGGAAGGCGCACGAAGGATTTTTTCGCCAACCTCAAAATTCTGAAAATCTTGAAATTTCTTGGTTTCTAATTTTTTTTGATCGCTCTTTTTTATTCTCTTTAAATGCTTCCAACACTGCCTTATTATGATTTTTAGTTTTTGAGCAAATATTAATTTTTTCGAACCTAATGTCTTCTGATAAGCATTTAGTGAGTGAACTTCAGATGCATTTTCCCAAATTGGGAATTTTCGGCACTTTCTTTCCTGTCAAACATTAAAGTTTTACTAAACTATAAAATATAATATATAATTATTTGGTAATCCACGATTTGTTCAGCAAATGGACTAGAAGAATGGCACTAAAAGTTTCTTTACATGAATTGAAATGTTCAGAACAAAATTATAAATCAATTTTTTCTCAATAGTCAAATCATGACTTTTAGTTTTCACAGTACCTTTACCTTACCATTCTTAGTTTTCATTCATGAAACCAGATTCATGCAAATAATTTAAATAAGAAGAATTATGAAAATATATCAATTTGTTGTAGAGTTATGATGCTTGAAGCAAAAACCTACACTTTGGCCAATTATACATAAATAAAAGAGAATTTAAAAAAATATATGTGACCTCTAAAAGCATGAAGAAATCAAATGTACGAGGACAAACCAAATAGACACATAATTCTTAATTTTTATTTTTCAGGTAGACAGCTACCTGCTTAATACCATAAAACCAATTGTAATTATTGGTAGAACCATTAATGATACAATATCAATTCCTTAAATATGTTTATTTTAATGCTAGTAAAATGTCACATGGGAGTAAGAAAAGTTGAATGGAAAAGGGGCTACGCATGTCTCTGAAGCTTATTATTGACAATATTGTAAAAATAATTAAGTATTCCATTTTAAAACTTTTTGGGTGTTGCATGATGTTATAGTCGTAGAGAACAGCCTCTGGACATTTAAGATTTTAATTTATTTCACATTTCAATTGTTTACCTGTCGCAAAGCGAGGCAAAAAGTTACTGCAACAGAACTGTAATGGATTGGTCTGATAGCTTATGAACTTCCAAGTTTGGTATCAAGGCCAAAGCCATTTGCTTCACAATTACATTTCTTAATTGCAATAGGTATTACCTATACCTATTGTTGTTGTATTTTATGTTGAACCATTTACATGTTGGCAGAAGGGTTGTAACAATTTGACAGATGTTAGGTTAAAAGATGGGAAAATTAAGGATTGAACATATTTACAAAAATTAAATAATTTATTACAGGCTATGGCTCCCCTTTCGAAATTTCCAGGGAGGGCATGTTCCTCCTAATGTTCCAATGAGGCAAATCCGAATTCAAATTTTCAAAGCACCATTGCAAGATGTCATTGTGGTACTCAATATTATATTGTTAGCTATAAAAAGTATTTTTGGGTCACATCAGAGTCATCAACTTCCTTTTCTTAAGTCAGGATGGATTGGAACTCAGTGATGTTCTCCGAAAAAATAAAGAACAATCCCAAACGATTATATTTATACTTGCTGTAATTTGATAATTGTTTAACACATTCTGAAAATAATACCCTTCTTTACAATAGTATTTTAAAGAAATTAATATGAATATTTTAAAGAATTATTATAAAAAGATAAAGATTAAAAATGTTATTTTAAAGTCGGCCAGCACAGGAACAACTTTACTTAAGGTGAAATACTAGTCGTGATTCACAATTTGTACATTGGTGAAGAGCTGCACCTCGCATTTTTGCATTACAGGCAGTACTATCCTATTTTAATGCTTTGCATTCCACAGATGTCTATTCAGTAGACTGAAATACAATACAATTATTGAGATTGATGTAGATTTAAAGATTATATGAGAGAAATGAAAGTTACCATAATTTTACAAAATAATAACAAAAAATAAAAAAGTAGTATATTATGATGACATATTGTTAATATGAAATCCATGTAAATCATAAAAGGTAGGATAGTAGGATATACTGGACCAAAGCTCTGTTCATATTACTTTACTATCATGGGTATATAGGTAAAGCATTCATTAGCATAAAAGATTTTGGTAAATAATTATGTTAATTGTTTGTTGCAGTAAATGATATGTGAATTTCACGTCTTCATTCCAAGGATGCAATCAATTTGTCGCTTATCAATGGAAAAATATTTTGTTTCCTGCTTTGGCAATTCTGTTTTCTGATCATAAACTGGCGTGCTTACGTAATTTTGCTAGTAGCGGGTTACGTAATTCTTATGGCAGTAGGTCTACATAGTAAGTAGAGAGCAAAATTCCAAAAGGCAGTACAATAGACTGCCAATAGTTTGTGTTTTTACACAAGTGCATTCCTAATAATAACTTCATATTGAAGTTTTTCTGAAACAGATTAAGCATTAAAATTACATATTTTATAATTTAAAATGAACATTTGTATGAATTTCTAACTTTTAATTGATTTTGAAAATTTTCATCAAAATGTCTTGAATAACAAGTGACAAAACAATCGAAAACAAAATATTGAGAACATTATTATTATTATCATCCAAAGCTATATTTTTGAGTACATGACACTACACTATCTATTGCATTAATAATCAAGGTTCCAAACTCAACTAGATAATGGTTTTGACATAAGAAGAGCATTAGGCACGAAAGCGCATAAGAGCAGCATTAAGAAACTTATGTTATTCAAGTTCTAATGATTTGTATTTTTCTGAATAATTTTTATACATTTTGAATTACATACAAATGTGAAAAAAAATGAATTCTAAGAGTACAAAAAGGGGGAAGTTATGAGGAATGTATAGCTCATATTGTGAGATATTTATAAATAATTATCAGCATTTGTTACTTTAACATCACAGCTTTTGTAACTTTAAATATAAATTATTAAAAGACATTGACAATAGGAAAGCTGTATATTACTGGTTAAAAATTGACCATACCACTTTTCACATTGATTATTTTACTGATATATTGTTACCATATACTCATGTAGAATTTAAAATATAGCCTAATATTGGCAATATGCAATGTAGTATGTAGGTAATTATTTTTTGAAACTATTTTGAAGTACTAAGGTACTAAGGAATTGTGAAACTGTTACAGTACAGAAGTGCATTCACAGTTTATGTGTTGAAGATATATTTTATTTTTTTATGATGAGTATTTAATCACATTTTCAACATTTTGAATCGTTGTTGTTTAAGACACTACTGAAATTGTTTGATAACTTATGATATCATTTTATTACCCTTGTATTTATGGCATTGTCAGTGTGCATATTACCACACTAAAATATTTTAGTGAAGCTAAAATATGAGAAATAAATTATATTTGCCTACTGTAAATACAATGTAAAACATAATATTTTTGCAGGAATAAAGAAGTGAATAAAATGCTTATTTACTGGAGAGAAACAAATTTCAAATTTATAAGTTCAGTTTTTTATAATATCCAATTATTTGTAAAGATGAAAATCATATGAAATGAATTGATATCTTTGTTTTGCAGAAATAGAAGAATATTTCTTGTCATTCACATGCTGACTCAATCTCAGTTTACTGAGCAGAATTATTGAATTAGCCAATACCACTTCTAGAAATTTTTATGTGTTAAAAATTTTAATGATCAAAGAAAAAATGAATGAAAAGAGAAGGAAGTTAGTCCTGTAACAAATGTCAGTGTAAAATTAATTTAGTCTTTGTTAACCCTTGTATTTCCAAAAGAAACTTGCTTCTCTTTAACAAACTATTAGGATAGAATTTTAAAAAAATGGTCAAAATTTACAAGCAAAGTCTTGCTTGTTTGAAATCAGATCCACATCAATTTAACTTTTGAAAAATGAACAATTACATGCTGAAAAATATAGTGAGAGGGGCTGTTTCACGATATTTTTACGACATTCTGGAATCCACTAATTTAGACACATAGGCAATACGAAAGAAGCTAGTTTTTCAGTAGACAAAATCCATAAACCATTGAGTTTGAGAGTATACGACTACAAAGAAATATACCACATATACAAGTAAGAAACGTCCACTTTTTCGGTATCTCTTTCAAGCACACAGCTATTGCAAAAATATTTACACTATTTGCAAAGGTCGGGCCTCGTGACACGCCAGCTGCTAGAAGGAAATGTTTGGTAGGCTTCGTAAAAAATGCTTCTCAGGTGTTCTGCAGGCATTTATCATGCATCCAGCATATTCCGGTGCTTCTGGGAACTATTCTCCGCAATCTTTGGCGGTGGTTCATACATTATTCTACCGTACAATAACACACATGAAGAAGAAATAATGGTTTAAATTCTGTATCTCGGTGCGGCCAATGCATTACGCACAGTGTGATACACTATGTCATCAAAAGTATCCGGCCATCCAAAATGGTGTTGTCGCGTTTTTTATGGAGTGGGCTTGCACCCCTTGTTGTTTTGTATGGCACTATCACGGCACAAGCCTACGTTGATGTTTCAAACACTTTCTTGCTTCCCACTGTTGAAGTGCAATTCGGGGTTGTCGCTTGTACCTCTCAACACGAT